ATAAATTTTCTTTATTGTTTGATTATTACAATATCGTTTATTCACACATATACATAAATTATATGAAAATTTTATGTTAAACTCATGACTTTGTGTATTTTTGTACGAATTTTGTTGAAAAATTCATTTTAAAGCGTTCATAAAAAACGAAAATTTAATAATTTTTTTTATACTATATTTCTGGAAGATATACATACGTTATAATTGTGATTCATGTACCTACTCATAAGTATATAATTATGTACATAAAATATTATAGTTTATACATAAGTTATATTATGTAATGCCGTGCAGCCTAATATATGTACAAATATGTATATTTGAGTGTGTATTTCATGCAATTGTTGTACGGAAAAGCCAACCATGAAAACACATGCATATGTGCATATCTACATAATGCCATAGCTGACTATTGGACAGACTATGACTTTAATTTGCCGAATTAGCATATTAATTTATGCGAATTTCAGTATTGAGTTTTCAATATTTTGTAAGATATGGCCAAACTACTTTTGAAGTTGAACGGCAACTACCACAAGAATTCAAGAAATTTCAACGATTTTTATCAGATATATTGGCCCTACTAATATATTTGCTAGTATGATATATCCAAATAACTTTTGAAGTTGTATGGCAGTTACCAGAAGGAGCCAAGCAATTTCAACGACTTTTATCAAACACATTAGCGCTATTAGTATATTTAATTGTACGAAATTTCAATACCACAACTTTTATAGTTTCTAAGATATAGTGAAATAAACTTTGAATTTGTATGGCAGCTACCCGAACCAGTGTCCCGATTAATACCACAATAACCGACAAGTAATTACAATCAAAGTATATCTACTAATAAGTAGTTCGACTCTCCATTTACATCACACTAATGCAATCACTCACTAATATTTGTATTATCTTCTTATTTTCATTTTTATAAACATAAGAATGTTTGGGAGAGGAAAAGAATACACAATAGATGTCAACCTGTTTTTTTATAATGTATTTTGAAAGGCGGCACTTTATTATTTGCTCGTATATAAAGTATAGGGAAAAATATTAAGAATTTTAAAAGCGACACAATAATTTCTGTAATTCATTCCAGTACAAGGTGGCAAAAAAGGTGTATTCATATTACAAAAGCGAAGTGGAAAAAAGTGTTTAAAAAAAATTATTATAATTTATATAATATTATTTTGAAAAATAATAAAAATAAATTTTAAAAAGACGTACAATATTAAAAAAAAAGTTTAAATAGTTGTGAAAACAAAATATTTTACAGTTTTTATTAACCATCCAAGAATTTCATGGATAATTTAAAGATTTTAGAAAAAACTTTTATTAAACTTTTTAATAATATTTGTACAGAAAAAAATTTAGAATGTAAAATATATGAACCCTTAAAAAATAATTTCAACTATGAATGTTGTGAGAAATCCGACAAAACATAATATTTCATTAAACTGTATATTAGAATTAGAATTTACCACATAATAAAAAGTTTTAATAAAACTATAAGACAATTTGATTTGAAATAAAAAATTTTTAGTGTTAAGAATTTGTAATTAATAATTATTAATAAATAAAATAAATAAATTATCTTTAAATTTTTTATTTTTATTTCAATCTTAATAAATTTAGAACATATTTCCCATGAATCGGTAATATCTTAACTATATTTCATAAAGTAATCAGTATGCATACACCTTTTTTTCTTTATAAATTACTTTATTTCTATATCACTACTTGATACTGTGTATCTACTGTACAAGGTACATGCATGTGTACATTCATACATGAAATTTCAAAATCTTTTGCTATTATACATTCGAATTTTTTACCTAACTTTAATAAAATAAAAAATAAATTTTGTTATTATCAAAATAAAAATAACAAATTATTTATCTAACTTTATTTAATTTTATTTCGGTTCAATGTTTTTGATACACTCGTTTGTTTACAATATTTTGTTTCCTTTTTGACTACACAACTCTTATTACCATCTATTTCTAAAAAAAATGAAATATTTTAAGAATTTGGAAGCAAGAAGGAAATGAAAACTAACGGAGTGGAACGAGTCGAATTACTTATTAGTAGATATACTTTGATTACAATATGTAATTAAATGACAAAATAAATCTGACAATAATTTGTCGGATTTGTAAATCAAAAATATTATATATGTATTCCAATTTACCATGGTATTGTTGGGCTCAATTTTGATTACTTATGGCAATTTTATAATGTTAGGTTGGGATCCCACTGGCTTTCAATTTAAATCTTAGATTAGAATATATTTATAATATTTACGTTCCACTTACGTGTAAAACCACGATATATCACGCTAATTTAAGTTTCACACATTAGCACTTGTATAAATACATAGATTTCACGCTTTTTCATCAGGTTGTTACTTTTCTTTTAGCATGATTGCTTGTGAATTTATGATAATGTAAAACAAAGTGGTTCTTTTAGATTGCTTTTAAATTTTTCAGCTCCAAATTATTTATTAAATTATAAAAAAATTTTAAATATCGCAGAATATACTTTTTTATTTTTAATAATTTTCCAACATAAAATAAGCCATACTTGTCTGGAAAGAGCATCTTGAAAAAACAATGAAGCCAAATTTTTTCTAGTTCTCTTTCTTTGCTCCCAGCATTGTCAAAGTCGTAACAGGACCGTATTTATTTTATTTTTTTATCTAGCCACCATTATAAAATATGTGTAATTTGTAAGAAGGATATGTTAAAAAATACTTTCAAAGTAAAGACTAAAAAATATTTCAAAATAATTTTGTCATTTAATGTATCTGCAAGAAAAAAATCAAATTTAAACAAAACTCATTATTTTTTTTTTCTCCTTGAATAAATTTATTTTATGAATTTTAAAAATATATTTTGGTAAAATATTTGAAACGCAAACTTTTTTATTAATAATATCAAACAACTTTCTTTTCATTTAATTACTTCTAGGAAAATTATAATTATATAAAGAAAGACCAAATAAAAATATTGTATGTATGCTATATTCATACAATATTTTGTATGTGTGCTACGAGTATATTCCATGGTGAGGAGGGAATCTCGGACTGTCTTCGTGCAGCCGCTGCTTTCCTGTGGTCTGCCTTCTTCCGCCGTGGGGGCCAGTTTGCCTGCCTGAGTGGGGCTCGGGGGTTACTCCTGCTCCACTCAGTTCCCTTGAAATCTACAATGTACACTATATTTTATCAAACACAAAATAATTTTGCTTAGAATTAGAAAAATCCGGTCCTGTTGAAATTATGTCATACGCGGTAATTTTAATTTAAAACAAAGCAAAACCTGATGTTTTCTTTGCAAAATTAAAAACCTAATAAAATTACAAATTGTGAATTAATCGAAACACTGCTGAATAAATATTTCTTTTAATTATTGAAATGAATAATATTCACATGTATATAATAAAACTATTTGTTTTTACGAATGGGAATAACAATATAGATCTATACAACTTTTTCTTTTTTAACACATTTCTTCCACTTGTTTAATTTTTTTATGAGTTTTTATAAAATAGTAATCTTTTTTAAACACTTACTATTAAATATTTTGTAATTTTTATTTACAAACTGCACTAATTTTATAAACAAAATAACAAAATCTTCTTTGTTTACAAAAGAAAAAACACAACAACATTTGGCATTTAATGTTAGCTTCAGTTTGACAATGCTCTGAGTAAAGAAAGATACTTACCTGAAGTTTTTGGCTTAACTATGTTTTTTTTTCAAGATACGATTCTTCGGGAGTATGTGGGAGATAGAAACAAACATGATCCTTTCTTAAGTATTTGTAATTTGTTGATTGTGCAGTTAAGTTATTTTTTTCTGGTAGGTGGAAATAGTATTCCTAATCTACAACACATGGATTTCGAATTTTCAGAGTTATTTTGGCATTTAATTTTTATATTCAAAATGACTTTTTTTAATTAAGTTGACAATTGAACAATAAAAAATGAGCTATATGCAAAAAAAAAATGTTATGTATTTTGACATAACAAAAATAATTCTGGCAGCCGTTTCCATGTTCGTATATAGTCATGATAAAAGTAGTTTGAGCACGAATTTATTTAAAATATTGGCAACTATTGACACCTTGAAACATTTCAAAAAACAAGAACAAATTTAGTAAGTTTTAAATATGTATTGAAACATGTTAACTTTGTAATTTATTATACATTACAAAAGAAAATAAATGAAAAATATTGAATTGAATTCACATATTCAAAAATAATCAATATCAAATTATTCAGCAATATGTATGACACTGAAGTAAAAACTTATAAAAAAATAAAAGTATAGTATTTTGGTATAATAATAGATAATTTTTTTTTGACATAATATTACCTTCTTCCTGACGCTCTATGCATTTTGTGGTAATGATCGAAATTTCTTTTTATATGATATAAAAATAAAAAGAGGATTATATATAAAATAAATAAATAAATAATATAAATGAAAAGAGGACTATAAAAGTGAAAAACATGAAAGTTAAATATTTTACATGACTAGATTCAGTGACACATCAAATTAGTATTATTTCGTTTGTATGGCGAATTGAATACTCGACTTGAAATTTCAATGCGCTTGTACAGTACAGATGGAAATACTATTACTTGAAATCAACTTAAGTTTGACATTAGCTAAGAAGCATTTTATATTAATTTAGCATCTTCAATCTTTCAATTGGCATGTATGCCGTCGATTTTCAAGTCAAGCTAATAATATTACTGAACGACTTAACTAGAGAATTTCAAGTCAAATATCTTTTACATAAGTTTGAATGAAATCTGTTGAACTCGGCTTCACGTTGTATATAAACGCAAAGTATACTTATATTACATTTGTATCAAATTCAAATTTGTTCGCAGACTTTGTCGTATTTGTGAACACTATTGGATATTAAATTTGTAGTATGTTGGATACTTTTAAAAATTAAATTTGTTCATTATATCAATCAAAATCAAACGTCACAAGCTAAAAAAGGAAGCATCTTTTAAGTAAAATAGTAAAAACGATTTTATAAGAATGGATGCTCAAAATAATATTAACAAGATGTTAAATCAATTGTCAAACAGTATGACTAACTTCGCATCAAAAAAATTAAGTTTTGATGACAAAAAAAACTTAAATGAAGATAGTTCTTGTGAATTAACAAGTAAGTAATATGTTAGGTTATGTTAGTTGTGGCGGCGTTTCTTTAATTAAACTTAATTCATAGTGAGTAAAAAAAGGAAATTATCAGAAGATAAAATTGATTTACAATCAACAATCGTTGCAAATGAAAACCTAAATAACAGTATTAGTAATGAAAGTTTAAATACTTCTATTGGACTACCATCAAGCCCATGGGAGACTAGAAGAATGAAGGCCGATTTGTTGGAAGCAAAATCTAGGGTATGACTGTTTAAGCTTTGTATGCTAAGAAAGTTAGTATTTTATTGCCATTTTTTAGATTATTAAGTTAAAATCAGAAATCGAACAACAACATAAACTGCGTATAAATATGGAAAACCTCTACAGCGCCCAAGTAACAGAGTTGAAAAAGCAATGCGAATTTTCTTCTGATAAGGTTTTGGATATGGAAAAACATTTGAAACTTTTAAGGAAACGTGAAGCTACAGCTAAACAGGACCTAATTAAAATAAAAGGCGAACTAGATCAGATGAAGCAAAGCTATGAAGACAAGGTTTATACTTTGCAAAGAACTAATTGTGAAATGGAAGAGAATACTCGTCACCTGCAACATCGACTTACAAATGAAATAAATGAATATAAAAGGGTTACTGAAAAATTGCAAATCGTAAGTCTACCAAATTTACTCTAATTTTTATTTTATTTTTATTTTAATTTAATGGACAAGGAGCTAAATATAGTAAATGAAGAACTTGAAAATATACGAAATCATCAAGATGAGATGCAAGAAAAAGCCTTTGCTTTTGATGAACTTCATTCCGAATTAGAAGAAGAAAGGCAGGAACATGAATTGACAAAATCAAAAATAAAAGAATTAGAATATCAGATTTCTTCTTATGGAGATTATAAGGAATTATCAAAAGTAACCCTTCGTTTAGTAAAACAGCATAAAACTAAAATTTATTTATTCTCAGACAATGGAAAATCGGTTAGCTAATATTCCAGATTTAGAGAAAGAAATAATAAGACTACAGAAGGAAAATAAAAATCTTCAAGAAAATATTGGTGAAAAACTTTTATTAGAAGAACAAGTACATGATCTAAAATCCCGATTAGAAAGGAGTGACAATGCTTCTTCAGATGCAGCAGCTTTAAGGGTATTGCATTAAAATAAACATTTAATAACTATTGTATTCAATTATTATCAATTTAAGACACAAATATCGTGTTTAGAACGAGAATTAAATGATTGGAAAAATGTAGGGAAAGATCATTGCCTACCTCACCAACCTGTTAATCCTAGCACATTAAGATCACGAATTGAGCAAATTTTGCAAAAGGATCTAATTTTGGCATCTGAAAAAGGAAATTCTAAATCCGAAAAAGAAAGCTACCAGTTGCAAGTACAAGAACTTAAGGCTGTAAGTTAAAACTTTTATCAATACGCAATAATATAAGTTTCTAACATTTAATTAGTGTTATTAGTTTTGGCAAAACTTAAATATATAGATGAAAAACTAATTTAGCATCATTAAACAAAATGTCTTAAGAAAATTATTAAAATGCATTATTGATCAAGATTTTAGTTTCAAAGATATTTTGGTTTCTCAAGCCGAGTGTATCAACATAAATTAAAAAACGAATCTTATCATTAATTTTCATGAAAATTTCAGCATAATAAACAATAAAACTATTGGTCTATATTTGATTATTTGATACTTTCAAACATTAAATTGATTGTGTTTTTTAAAATGCTTGAGAAAACTTTACCCAAGAAATTCATTTAAAAAAAAATCAGAAACTTTTTTAGTCAGCATGAAGAACCTTTTCAAATAAAGGTATATAACTGCATATCTAATTTTTTAAAAACTATCAAAAATCGTTTGATGGTGGCCAATTAACACCTTAAGTATTGAAATGAATTTGTTGACAACTTCTGATATTTCCAAACAATTTTAAATGATGTATTATTTTATCATACATATAATATTTTATCATTTGTCGTTTTTATTATAATAGCAGTTTTTTAATTTTTTTTATTTTCTTATTAATACAATTTCATCATTTTTTATGATTATTGTTACTTATAGTTTTTCTTTCATACTAAAAGAATTTTCGCTTTTCACCTAAGTTTTGTTTTAATATTATGTATGTTTTTTTAAAAAAACTTTAGTTTAACTTTCTTTTACATATTTTGTAGTAACATGTTTAATACAATATGAAAATTTAAATGTAAGGGAGAATATGATTACATATATTTTTTTAATTTTGAACAGCAAAACGAAATATTATCAAAAAATAACAACAGTTTAAAGGCTGCATTGAAGCAAAGGGAGGCAATTATGATGAGAGCAAAGAAAAAGTTATTAATGGTGGGAAAAGAAAGAGATTGTTACAAGCAATTAGTAGAAAATTTTGAAAAAGATATGACAAGTATTGTTAAACAACTTCAATTTGTTTAAAGCAATTAAAAATGAATTTTTGATTTTAAATTTTAGTTTCTGGGGCATTAATCGACACCATGAATCCTGATTTGCAAATTCGTACTCGTTGTGATATTTTAGAAAAAAGTTTAGTAAGTTATAAGGAGTTGTGCACAAATTTGCAAAAGGAACTTGAATCGGTTAAACAATATGCTGATTTAGGAATAACAGAGTCTCCCATTATTAGTGAGAGCTATGAACACTTAAAAAAAGAAATTACAGACTTGCGATTCGAAAATGATCGTCTTAAAAGGCGTAAAGAAGAACTAGAATTAGAAATGGAACATAGATGTCTAAAAGGCGATTTTAATATTGACAAATACAAAGTAGTTCACATGACAATGAATCCAGCAGCAGAAGCATACGAAAACACTAAAAATGAAATCGAAAAACTTCAAGCTGAGGTATATTTCTTCTGTTGTCGAAAAAAAAAATTTAATAAGATAAAATCTATTTAAGATTGAAAGATTGAAAAGACGAAATAGGAAATTAGAGGAAGAGCAAGAAGAAATGACACAACGTCTCAACGACACCAATAATCTTACAGTAAATATTAAAGAAGTGCGTTAATTTTTATGTTTTTAATTACCTATATTATTTAATTATACAAATTTCCTAATTAGCTTAATCACTTGCGTTCCAAGTTAGAATCGGCTGAATCAAAAATGCAGCATATGAAAGAAGTTTACAAGTCAGCGAATTTGGAGTTCCGCGAAGTATGCTATATGCTTTTCGGATATCGCATAGATCGTGTTGGCAATTCAAATTACAGGTAAAAATTATGATTTTTTTGTGCAACTTTTTTACGTAAATTTTTGGTTCTAGAATATCTAGTATGTATGCTGATAGCGAAGATGAGTATTTAAATTTTCGTTTAAATGAATCAGGTATATTGGATATGTTAGAAACAGATTATTCAATTTCATTGAATGAGATGGTTAGTACACATTTAGCAGCACATAATTCCCTTCCAGCGTTTTTAAGTGCATTAACATTAGAGCTTTTTAATAGAACAACTATTATGGTATAACTTTCAATAAACTTTTTTTTATTATATTATCTTGTATTAACGAAATAAAAAACTTTCCATCTAACAACTTAATATATTATAAAACAACAAATATCATAAGGATTTAGTGAATAAATACATTCTTTATTTGAAGAATTTCTAGTACCGTAGTTTAAGAAAAAATTTAAAAGAATAATTTTAATATATTTTCATACATGTTGTGGAGTAGTGTATAATACTAAGTGTTTTCGATAAAATAATGAAGTATAAGTAATTTATAGAAATTAAAAAGTTTTCGTATAAGTGAAGATTTAAACAATATAGACGCAACATTCTAAGATTTAATTTTATTTAATATACAAATAAGGTTGATTTCATTTAATACGCTATATATGCATAATTTTCAGAAAATATGCATATTTATACATATACGTATAATAAACATACATATATGTGTATGTATATTGATTAAACTATTTGTTTGAGAATATTCGCAAGCATAAAGCAAAACTATTGTTTACTAAATCTTGACTAGAGAAATAAAATAATCAAAAATAAGAAAATTATGTTAATTGTCCAATTTCGTTAGTGTAACGATGCTTTTTCCGTCTTACAGTTTAAGAGATGTATGTTAGAAAGTAATGGAATACTACAGGACGGTTAAATTTGGAATAAGATGAAAGTTGTCAAGCTAAATAATTAATTATGGGACTTCATTTTTATTTTAAAATTTAGCATCAGAGATCGAAATTTACTTTTTAACTCTTGGAATTTTATTTAATAAATGAAGCATCTAGATTTGCAGTACCACGAATGTTTAGTAATATTTTTTGTAGCCTGTTGTATTATATTAATTCTGTTATGTCGAGATAATAGATGTATTTTTAATAACTTTTAATCTAACATTACTATTATTCTGAAACTTAAATTTCCATTTTAGTTTAATTTTTTGTTAGTTTTAATTTTAATTTGTTTCTCATTTTAATATCGTAAAATTTATTAATTTCCTTTATAAACGGTGTGAAAATTCTACTATCTTATAAGAGAAATAGAATGCTCAAAAATATTGAATTTAGTTTTGGCTGAAAATAAAAAGCGATACCATGCCTTCTTGAATAGTACATATGTTCAAAAATTTAATTAATTCTATGTTAGTTCTGTGTTTTATGTTATGCATCTCGTTTCTTCTGCGATGGCCGAATGAAAGTACTCCATTTGCCAATTTACTGTGCAGGTGTATGGCGGTGTTGAGTATTTTTAGTTGAATCTTCAGCATGAATTTAATGCTGGCGAAGTTGAATGTATCAAGCCCAATTTCTCGATGTAGATATGTTAAGTTGTTCAGGTTGCGTTCAGTAGTCTTGTATCTAATGAGTTTGACCTGTTCATGTTTTTAAAAATTGTCTGTGGATGTTAACATTAATTTTGTGCAATCGCGTAAATATCTATGAGGTTGTCAAAATATATCCTGTGTGTTACGGGTTAGGTTTGTTTAACTGTGTATATCGCTTATTAATACTTATAAATACTTATACTTTTCTTATATCCTTATTAATTAAACTTTTGCAGTAATTATAACTTAATTATTTTAAATAAAAATATGATAGACGTAAAAATTCTTTGACTTTTTCTTTGTTACATTTGTTCTTTAATATTTCTTTAAACTATGGAAAATCACCATGTTGCAATTGTACATTGCAGAGGTATAATGGTATTTATTATTATTTGTTTATTTTAGTATGCTTTTTAATACTTCATACTTAATTGTACTTCTTTGAACAATTTGTTTTCGGAATTAATATAACAAAAGCAATTAATTTTTTTTCTTTATTTAAATTATTTATGAAGCTTAATTATAATCGCAACTTGGCAGCAGTTTCAATCAAAACACAATTCTTGAATTATTAACTAAAAGTTTTATTTAAATCAATTATACAATAATTTATATAAACTTTTGTTTTCACAATTTGAATTAGCCTCTGAATCGATTTTACAGTTATGACAAACATTACGTAAATTTTACACCATTTTTTTCATTTTTGAGAAGTGTACCATTACCATATCTTTTTGAAAAATTTAAAAAACTTACAAAGAAATATGGAAGAGAATGGAAAAAATCTCACAAAGAATTGTTTTGCGTTTCAATTTGCTAGAGCTAATGTAACAAATAGTTTTTGGCCCTGAAATTTCCCTTCCGTAATGTCTATTCAGAAATTGTTGATCTAAAGGGGGACTTTTTTAACATCATAGATCTCCCACAAGATCAACTTTTTAAAATTTTTACTAAGAAAAAGTTTAAATTTTAAATTTTTATTGCCCAAATTTTATACATTCTTCTTAAAACTAGTACATGTGCAGTGGTTTAGTTTATTTTAATACTTTTCAAGCTGTAATTAATATAATTCGATAGTACATGAATGATTTATGAACTATAAGTCACAATAATTTATTGAAGCAAAGGAAAAATGGCAAAAAAAAAACCTTTCGAAAAATTTTATTATTATATTAGTTTTTTTTTGTGATTTTTTTATTTTTTTTATAAAACTTACATCTAATTCTTATAACTAAAGTGCAAATCTAAAGCAGATCAATATGATAAATCTGATTAAATATAAAGGAAAATTGAAATATTTTAATTTAAAAATCAGGCCTTCGTTCCACACAGAGTCGAATGCTTTCTCTATATCTAGCGAATTACGTTGTTTTCCTTTTATCGTAATAAAAAAAGAAATAATAAAAATAAGAACAACAAAAATTTAGATTTTAGTTGCTTATTTTATTTTCACTTAACTTTAATCTTAAGACTTACAGTAAAATTGAACTTTTCCTTTTAAAAGCAAACTTAATAATAATCAATTTGAATCTAAAATTATTTTATTAAAATTAGTTACTTGAAAGCATAAAGTTATTTAGTCAGCAGTAATTATTTTAAGTGTGTAAATTTTATTAAGTGTAATTAATTGATATCTTAAACTTTATTTGAAAACAATTTTATGTGAAAATAATTACTGTTGATTATGAGTTTTTGTTATTGTGCAAATTTAATATGAAAAATAAGAATTACGAAATTTATGAAAAGAAATTTTGTTATTTTTAATTTAAAGGTAATTTTTATTAAACTTTATAAAAGAAAGACGACGGAAATGAAGTGTCGTCTTTCGAATTAATTTTATTTGAGTTTAATGACATAACTCGCGAACTCGAATTTACCGTTGTTAATGAAGAAAGTTTTTTTCTCTATGTCAGAGGATTTGAATTGAATTTAAAGGAAGCCACTCTTCAAGTCGATAGTCGTAAAAACTCTATTCTTTCCCAAATTCGAGAGATCCTCGTTAATCTCGGGTAAAGGATATTTGTCAGGTATTGTACTCGGGTAAAGGATATTTGTCAGTGTCAATAAAACAATATTTATTAGTTGCACATTTTACGCCTTAAAACGAAACCCATACTTAAACATTTTGTTCAAAAACAATATCTGTGACTGCACGTAAAATCAATAAAAGCAAAAGGAAGAAGCATAAAACCATAAGAATAAAAGCAAAGGATCTTTTTCTTTAGTTCAATTTTTGTCAATATGCGATTAATTTTAAAATTGAGAAAATTGTAACAAAACAAAAAAAAAATTTCATATCAAAAGTAATAAAAAAATAAATACTTCACATTAAAAATAAAAACAAGGTTTTATAATAAAAAATTAAACCAATTCAAAAAAAATTGGTAATTTTGTATTAGTTGTTTTTGAAAAAGCTATTGATTATAAACGTTTCCATTTAATTTAAATTTTCAATAAATTTTGTGTTTTTGGAATGAAAAATTTTTCTAATATGTCTTTGCCGTTTAAAACGTCGTTAATTTTTGCATTTTCGACACAAATTTCTCTGTCATTGTCATAGTCACTAGTTTCAGTATCCTCATTAAAAGAAATGCCAGAACCTTCTTGAATTACACTGAAAAAAGAAATATATTTTTATGAGAGTAAGCGGTATAGTGGAGATTTTTTAGAATTATTCCTATTTTTTTTTGGAAATTTAGACCAGTTTGTTTAACAAACGCTTAATATTTTTTTATAACAATTCTCGCGCTAATAGTGATAAGAATAATTTTTTTAAGAATATTTCATAAAATTATATGAGTTTACACTAAAAATTTTGAAAATATGGGAATTAGATACGAAAATTCCAGAGCAATTCTAAAAAATTTTAACAAAATTTGTCCAAAAATGTTTAAAATAAGCTAATAAACAGAGAATTCATGCTTTAATTGAAGTAATGCTTGTTAAAAAATGAACAATATTTACTAACAAAAGTAGGAACAACACAGTATCAATGTAAGAAAGATTGCCATAAATATAACAATGTTTCTTAAAAAACTAGTAATACTTCCTAATAAAAATGAGAAAATTTTAATGCCAATATGAGAAATATTACTATAATAATAGTAATAATTCCAAAAAAGAATGAATAATTAGCTGAAAAAAATTAGGAAAACTTAGTGTTAATCTAGAAAATTTCTCCTAATTATAGGAATGTTTCCTGAATGGTTCGTGGCATTGACTATTAAAAATGAGACAAATTTTATGTTAACATGAGATGTATTACTAAAACAATAGCAAAGATTTTTAAAAAAGTTGGATTATTAACTGCAAAATTTAGGAAAACTGAGCACTAAAATAAAAAAATTTCTCTTATTTGTTGCAGTAATCCCCAAAACAGCTAGCAAAACTGATAAAAAAAAAGGAAATTTTATTACAAATATAGCAATGATTCTTATAAAAAAGGCTTTCTCAACTGAAAAAAGTAGGAAATATTGAGTATAAACATAAGAAATACTAGTGCAAATATAATAATTTTTCCTAAGAAATTAATAATATTTGCTGAAAAATTGAAGAAAAATCCTTGAAATTCCGAGAAGTTTTACTATGTGAGTTCTATAACTTTTCTTATTATTACAGGAAGTTTTTTCTGTTTTTGTATAGGCATATATACTAAAATGAAAACATCAAATATATATTGTTTTAAAAATAACGAAATTTATTTAACATTTTTTAAATACTTACGATCTGATTACATCAAATGAACTATTATTCTTAAAAATAAAAGTTTTTACTTTAAATA